CTTCAAGCCATTGTTGATCTTATTACTAGGATCTTTAGCAATTTTTAAATAAGTCTCCTCATCCAAAAGCATAGATTTGATTTTTTCAGTGTAAGAGGTTTTTTCTAAAGCAACCGTTATGTTTCCCTTATCCGCCTTTGTAAAAATAATATTACGGTTCTTTTTCAGGAATTGTTTCGTGTAATTCAATAAATCATTCAACCTGTTATGTATCAAAGTGTTTTTAGTTTTAAACGAAAGTAAATTATTAATGATTGCCAACGTGAGTGATTTCTGACACTGTTATGTACTGAACTTTGCAATTTCTTTAAATTGTTTTCTATAGTTTTCATGAATTCCACGACCACCGTCTTACATCATCGGAAGAGCGAAATTCTCCCCTAATTGCAACAGGCATTGTATACTTGTTGGAATCTCGACAGAAAAAAGATTAACAAACCATTTTTTCTTAATAAATGTTATAGAAGATGAGATTATTCCATTTGCAAAGGAATTCGGAGAAATGCTTATGTTTACCACCTTCCGATCGCCCGAGGAGGACAATGGCAACCTCTCGTAAACAAACTTATAACTATCGTCAGAATTATTTTCCTCCGGCAACCAAAAATATTCCACCTTTTTGATGTTCTTCTTTTTCATTTTTTCATACATAGATATTCTCAATAAGCTATAACATGTTTATTTTGTATTATTGACCGACACGTTTCGTTCGGTACGACACGTCTCTCTTTGTACTAAGGAATTCATCGTTATGAACATCGCAGAGAATTTTTCTTTCCATATATTGTTACCATTATGTGTTTTAATCTTATTAAACATCGAGTAGTAAATTATTGTAATGTGTTGACAATACTTGGATTTATTAGCGGTTGTGATTGGAGACGGGGTGAGTTACCGGTTAACGTACAGTAATTAATATCATTTCTAAATATATATAAAAAATTTTTAAATAATAAAATATTTTGTTGCAATTATTAGCTTGAGTTCCACTATCTATTCCACTCAGCTAAGCAACTGGATGGCACAACATTGACTATGTTGAAGATGGTTGTCTCTCACCACATTTCTAATGCAATTTTTGGTACGGTTGGTCAGCTGCGATTGTGCGAGATGCATGTCGATAATTATGTGCAGGGTGAGAAGCGGTAATTTTTATTGCTGAGGATGGCTCAAAACGGTTAGCCGAAACATCCTAAATTATAAATGTAGATATTATAGATACCAGTTAATATTGCGCAACAAATATCTGGCGGCGACTCCTAATGTCCACGTATTTATACATATACTATTTTATGAAATTTTATCGCTTAAAGTTTTGATAGTGCTTAATTAAAATTAGAACAAATTTCGATAAATGAGCATTTGACACATACAACAGAATACGCTAACACAATTGCCAATTAATATTAGCGTGCTGTGTTGTGTTTTCAAACATTGGCTAAACGTATAACAATATTGACAATGTATAGGATTTGTCCGGAAGCAGAACGAGTAAAATGAAAGTATGGCGCCGTAAACCCGCACCCGATTTACGACGCATGGTGCTTTTGATTAATGAATTATTTTTGTTGCGGCATGATAAATATTTTTTTAGCTCGACGAGGAAATTGTGTAACATTTATATTATTTAAAATAGAATTAAATTGAGTTTTTTTTTTAAATCTTTAGGAAATTTGCATCAAAATTTAAAAGAAACATTTTCCGATTTATGTATCTTTTCATAGCATTGATAATCTATCTAATTGCCACGCAATTTATTACTATATTTTACTTTATATTTAAAAGTTTAATATTATGCAATACGAGAGATTTAATTATTTTGTTATATGTATACCATATACTTGAAAAATATTTTTATTTTTAAAACAGACTTTTAGCCTTTGAGGTATTTTTATTTTTTATGAGCTTTTTTTCTCTCTCTATCTTTTTCTATTTTTATACTGACAGTATACAGAGTTCACTGTCAGGCTTTATTCTCGGATAAATTAGTGAAAAGGCTTCTACTATAAATATAGTGAAGTATGGATTGTCATAATATCGCTTTTAAGATTAAATGATACGCATCGATCGGCTAGTTCATAAGTTCGATGCCTTTAAAGATGCCTCTTATAATCACAATTTTTTTCAAGCACTACCAAAGATTTTTGTGTGCGTCTTCATATTCACAAATATCTTATGTTTACATTCGATATTGATAACTAATACGAAAATACTACGCGATAACAATCCGTAATGATTTTTACATCTTAAATTACTTGTTGTAGTTTTAATAGGAGTTAAAAATTTTAAAGTATTTTTTTGTATTTAATCCAAACATAGTTGGATTTCGTATTTTTTAAAGCATGAACATCTCTTGCATCCCTAGGTATTTCTGTTTTTTTTTTTGTCATATGGTATCACGGAAGTGAGGTTGATACCGGGATTGCTTTACTTCCGAATACTCAAAAGGAAATGTCACGGAGAAAAAGAGAGTGAGAGAGAAGGACGGGAGATAGTGCACGTATACAGACATGTATACATTTCCGCCCTGGACTCGCAACTCGGTATCGAGTTTCATACGAAATGTCGTGAGATCCTTGAAACTCAAGACTTGGAAAGTGCTGACTTCAGCCGGCGATGTTTGTCACAGAAAGAAAATTTTCTTTACTGCCGTTTATACACATCATGGGAATAGGATTTAACGTTGCACTCTTCCTATGTGATACTCGAACGATTATCGTAGCTTTCGATGCTTAAACGTTAGATATTGAAGACATAACGTATGTACACCTGGCATCGCTTCATTGCGATGGTAAGTCAGGTTATCTGAGACGGTCCTTGCATATTTTAAAATAAACGTTTCTTGGACAGTGGTGATTATATGTTCATGTGCAAAAAAAGACGATGTGAAGGACGTGCAATCGAATAAATAATAGACGATAGCATCATTAGATCTATGTAAGGCTCGCGGGACTTTGTCTAGACGGAGGTATAATCGAAGCCGACATGAGTATTAAATTTATGATCAAATGCAGAGCTTGGCGTATTGATATACCTTTCTCATGAAAGCGCATTTTACAATAGAGCAATTTGGAAAAAATACAATTTGGGTTTTTTGAGAAGGAGGTTTACCGTGCAAAGTGAACCATTTAGTATTGAAAAGATAGAGATGAGAGGGGGCTATATCTACGAATTGCTAATAACTACTGAAGACTGCAAATTTATGTGCATTAATGGGCGTCGACATTACTTCTACTGTAGATAGTTAAATCATTAGAAATACGAGTAATGTGACATCTGTTCGCAAATCGTTGTTTATTTCCGACTCGTTAATTAAAAGTCTAATTAGTACCACGTCAATTAATGAGAATTCCACTTTTGCTGGGCTCTACATGGCCGTTCGTGCAGAAAAAGGAAAATGTTGACGACGTTTTCGCGGCACTGCGTGATGACCAGCAATTAGAGACTTCTCGTGACCTCTTTTTTGTCATTATTTATTTATTTATGTACGGCATAATGTACAATTTTTCGAGAAAGAGAGACTCGTTGAAACGAATTTAATCTTTTATAGCAAACGTTAAAATCATAACATTTTAAGAAAATTGTATTTATTCTCGTCATTAAAACACTTTTTTTTTAATGTTAGGAAAAATTTCTAGTTCTTTATAAAATATACAAAAATATTTTATTAACAATATTTAAAAATATAATTAAAATTTGTACTCTTTGTCACAGTAAAATTGAGGACACATCAATTTTATAGCAGGCGAAAACCGTATACGCTACGATAAAAACTTTATTAGAAATAAATTTAAATAGGTTCTCTATCGTATATACATTGATATTAGCTAGCTCGTCCCTGTTCCTAGCTTCAGGACGCGGTTAATCGAATTACCTTTGGTACCGTAAAGTAACGAAGCCGAAAGGGTTATATAGTGTGTGACCTCATTAATAGTTGTTTCCGAGAAGTTAGATACATTCATAGTAAGGGCGAATAAATTTTGGCGGTTATGAGGCCCGTGAAGTTTCTCCGAATTGTTTTATAACACCCGATGGACTTTAATGATTTCTCTGTCATAGCCTATTACACTTATAATCTTCTCGTTTCTTCCTCCTTCAATCACAAAACAATCACGCGTATTTGCCAAGCGTTTCCGATTACACACGGCGTTAAAATCGATCCGCACGTAATTTTATTAAGCGGCGTACTTTAGTGGGTTGTGTAACACACGTAATTAACGTTAACGGATCTATTTTCCAGAACCTCTGTTTAGCTGGCACGTCGTTGATGTTAATTGGTGGTCGTGCAAGTTTCGTGTGGATTAATTGTTAACAATAATATACGCGTAACATGTAATAATCTAAAGTTACATTTTCGATATTTCGACGGTAGTGAACTATAATCTAATGTTTGTTATTCGATGAGTCGATTATAACCGCAATATACAATACAATATCCCTCTGTAATTCTAAATTCACATATTTCCACAAAATCCACAAACTAATAATTATTGTAACAACTGTTCATCATAAAGCCATATATACCTAAGATAAATACTGTAAGCCGCAAATATTCGAGCTTCATCCCGTAACATTTTTCTCGAGTCGACCGCACTCGGTGCGGTGACGTCAGTAAATTTTCGGTACGTAGACACGTTATCGCGATGTACAAGCCTTTTTTGTTCGTAACAACGTATATCATGAGCTTCGTTTCCTCGTCACATTGCTAAAGTATGTCGGACGGATTTACAGTGTGTCATAAATTATATCAATGCACATAAATTATATCAATCCGTTTGAGATATTTGTATGTCACTGCGTCAACTGTCGTCTGCCGAGCTGTCTATTTGCAACTTATAAAACCTTTGTACGAAGATTATAGTATGTTAAATATTTGCAGATGTATATTTTTTGCTAAATTTATCTGAACAACTTGTATTTTTTTCTTACGAGCATGTGAGAGTTGGATGCAATATAAATTCGGTGCACAGTCGTCGATGTTGCTTACTAGATTAGACAAGTGGATACGATATGGCGGCGATAAATGTCGACAAGACATGCCCCTTGTTGCCACCGATTTCTCCGCAGGATCGTCAGAAAACATCTCTTTTGACCGATTGTGACGTTAATAAAATATTGGAACGCAAATTTGGTAGTGATAATTCTCGACTTGTCGATTGGAAGTTGGAGCCCCTCAACAAAACGGAAGGTTTCCTCGGCCAATATCATCATCTTCTTATTAAGGCGCGAATCGATGGCAAGACGCAAAGTTTGCAGTTCTTTGCCAAAACTCCACCGCCGACTCATAGCCCGCAGTTTGAATTTCTGCAACGGTTTGACACGTTCAACAAAGAGATCACCTTTTATACAGATTTGGTGCAACGTATGGGTGCGAGCGGATCTCCAAAGTGGATGGTAGAGTGTTACTTTTGGAAACGAAACGTCATCATCGTTCTAGAGGATGCGTCGATAGATGGTTACGCTACGCTGAACAAATACGTACCGTTCAACAAAGAACATTGCGTTTGGATACTGAGAACTCTTTCAAGGCTTCACTCGAGGTCTCTGCTATTGGACGAGAGACTTTGTCGGGAAAGCGGCCAGGCCATCTTCGATCTATACGGACGACTTCTGAACGACATACTCTTTGTCGATGGGGACGATCGATCGGAAAGGGCCCTTATGTCCGGTCTCACGGGCATCTATACTATAATTGATCTTATTGAAGAATTCGATGATAAAGAGAAGATCGTTATTAAGCGCCAAATTACTGAATGGGTTCAAAAAATTTCACAATTATTGGCACCATCGAAGAAACATAGAAATGTCATTTGTCATCGCGACATTTGGGCAACCAATATAATGTTCCGACACGACCTGGCAGGCAATATAAACGGCTGTTATCTAATAGATTGGCAATTTTTTTGTTACTGTCCTCCGGCTATCGATTTTATGTGCTGCCTGTATCTAACCACCGATCGAAGTACCAGAGATCGTCATTTCGATTTCTTCGCTAAAGTTTATTACGATTCATTGGGTCGAAGTTTAGCGGAAGAAGGTCTCGATGTGGAGAATTATCTCTCCTGGACAGCATTCGAGAAGAGTTACACAGAGGCACGAGACATAGCACTTGTTTATGCTGCGCTCAATTTGCAAGTGATGTTACTATCCAATGAAATAACCATAAATTATTTCCGTAATTCGACCGAAAAACTTGAAGAAATTTTATACGGGGATGGACGAGCGGAACTCGTGCGCCATCAGTGCGAGAAGGAACCGGCTTATAAGATACGTACATTTGAGATTATACACGAAATTAAAGATCGTCTGTCGGAACACCCGCCGAATCTGTAATTTTCGCATCTATAATTTTTGACTATGAGATATGATATACTTGGAAGTGTGTTGGTATCTTCTTTACGAAAAAAGATATAATTCATTGTGATCGAAGATTGAAATTGTACCAGGTACGGAACTATTGTCGGTACCTTATTTACAATGTTTGATTGCAAGTTTCGAGAATTGTGTTGTTATTCTTCAGAAAAATGTGTTTGTTCAATTAGAATTAGGATTTGCTAATACATGCAACATATTAAGTTTATTAATATATGCAATGTAAATTTTTATATTAACATTAATTATTTAGAAAAATTATATATTTATTAACTTTCATATTGTATATGTACAGTATAGAAGAATATTTATATGATTTTCTAGTTATAATAATATAAAATGTATTCTTCCTTGAAAAATATCTCGAGAGAGAAGTAATGTACGTCAAAAATGTAAAAGATCTTAAGTCTTGAGATAGTTTGACATTAAAACATGTATTGGATGGGCAAAGAAATATCGGAATCTCTGCTTTTCAGTTATAATTGATGATAGAGAAATGTTTCTGATGCGAATGGACGTATAAAAGCTTTCCCATGGGAATTTCATTTTACTCATTTTTCAAACGCCATCATTAGATCTCGTTTCTCCTTCTTAAGAATTTCTCTTCAACTGCATATTCATTAGTGTATTAGTAAAATAAGTAGAGTATATTATATCTTTGTTTGAATGTAATTTTGTAATTTTTATTTCTACAATCGACTATATTTAGTTTATTAAAGAGATTAATTGTTTTCTTTTGAACGTTTTATACGTCTTTATTCGATATATTAATCTTTATTTACATAGTTATTAGAAAAACTAATTTTATATAGTTGAAACCATTATGTGACATAGCACTTTGCAAACTTAAACGAGACCATCATTCTATGTTACGTCAGACTAACTTTGTCGTGAAAAGAAAAAGGGATTACGTTGCGTAATAAACTTTGGAGCAGTCAGCTAGAAAAGAAAGCGTGAGGAAAGAAAAATTTAGTACTTAAGACAAATTCATGTTATTGACATTATACATTTATATAAAGTATATTTTTACATAAGGACAGAGAGATATTTTTAATTTACTATTTCAATTAATTTATGCATGTCATATGATAAAGAGAGTATTTCATAATTACCTAGAGAAACAATAGCTGAGTATCTCATTTAAATATAAATAATGTGAAAGAAAATGCAATTTTATATTCTGTATAAATGTTAAGAATAGCATAAAATCTTATTAAAGATTTTTTTTTTATAAAAATTTTAATATAAATTTTATTAAAAAATTTATGTACGTAAAAAATTAGATATGTTTTTATTAAGAAATCAAGTAATTTCTGTATAGTATATAATGATTGTGTGTATGTGAATCAAACGTTCAATATAATTTTCTTTACATAACAACACTTCTTAACGGTGGAATCGTCGTTCGCGTGATCATTGGTGTCTTGGTGATAAAATGATGGAGAACGGCCAGACTTAATGACCCATGACGTTATACCGAATTAAAGCGGAAGTTCCTTTTATTGCCAGCTATTTAAAGCGCACGTAATCACCCTTGCGATGTACTAATGATATACTTGCAGGCGTAAATTGTTCCGACCGTCTACGGGATAGACATTTAGAGACTACAAATAGTTATTCCGTTGACTATAGCTTAATTGACTATATAGTCGTGATAACTTGCTGAATGCAAATTAAACTTGATCTATCTCGTTGATTTTCACTCAACGCGACGGCATGAAGCCACCGTCTATCTAAAATGGTGTTATGATTTCATTATATACATATAGCAATATGCATCTCTTTTTAACGTTGTGATAACGGATTCAATAACCTCTTATAATAAAAATCGTGAAAGTGCGTTAACTATCGCATCGTTATGAATTTTGCTTAGAATTTTTATATCACAATCTTTTTAATATCCATATAAATTGATAATTTCTTTCGCGATACGTTTATTAATCTAAACACGGATGAATCACTGTTATATATTGATTAGTGATTACAAAGGTATAAGTGAAACTGCTGCATGTTTGTTACATATATTCAAACAACTGCTCGAAAGACAAATCCAATAAACATTTTCGATCGACAATCGTATAATTCGTTCTGTCCGTTCGAATAAAAGATAGTAGGGGAATTGTGTGAAGGAACTTTCGACATGGATACATATACATTCATCCCGCGAAATAGCAGGGTCGCGGACGCGCTGTTTATGCGAAATCCTGTGACTCGTGCAGTGGCGAGAACGGAGAGCGCAGGCGTCCGGAGTCCTGTGGCGGCAAGCGAACTCCGATTTTCTCTAGTGTCGCGTCAACTGCCGCTGGAGAGTCGTGTACATCGCACCCTGCCGGCTAGACTGCAGTGTGCTTAACAACCCCTTCTTTCTGCGTGGCTTTACCACTTTTCACTACTTTTGTCTCGTTAAAAGTTAAGTCCGAAATTAACAAGTATACTTCCGAGAAGTGCGCCGAATTTACTCGTCGCGCAAGTTATTGTGCGTATACACGTGAGCTTTAAACGCTTTTTTTGACATTGTGTACTTGGTGTAATCTATAAGCTCTTTTCGTACCTTTTTGTTTTAGTATATATATTAAAATAAACGTATATATCGTGACACTCGTAATTAATTCGAAATTGTAAAGGATCAACCTAACCTAACCTAACCATGACAATCTCTTCGTGAAATCGGATTCCGATTTCGAGACCAGACTGAAATTTTCGATTTACGTATAAGGGGTTGTGAATGAGTGTGCAGGATCGGAAAGGCGAGTATTGTGCGTGCATTTTGTAGGAACGCAATCGTTGTTCAATGTGAACTGGTGGACGCGATCTCGCGTGGTGGCGATTTCGTTCGAAAAGCGTTCATCCCCCGAACGCGTCCCATTTCCGGTCGTTTGCCGTTCGGAAACGTGACGTATTTGCGAAGAAGTGCATCGATCATGAATTGGTGCGACGTGCGAGCTTACGCGGATTCGGTCGACAATTGGTTCGTACGTCGAGGAATGTTCGCATCGGACGCCAAAGCATGAGGAACGACGCATTGACGTAATGGTGAGCTTATGATGATATCGTTTCTCTATTAGCGTGCTTTGCAATTCATTGATAAAGAGTAATGTCTGTAAAGATATATATATTTGTCACGAAAACGCTTGTAGCAAATATTTGAGACACTTGGCAGAGATAGGTTAGTGCAAATAATGTTATCTTGTTTCTTACAAAAACAAATATTTCCAAGATATCGAAGTTTTGACGAGCGTATACACAATATACTGATAATAGATTAATCATGAGCGAGAGAAATTGTATGTGGCACAAAGTGTAAATTTGTGTTATAAAAAGTAAGTCGAAAAACGTGCTATATATTGCAATTTACGCATAATAAGAATTGCTATCGCACGACAAAGTCATTTTCGCGATGGAAGAGTTCTTGATCTTTTATTGGAGTGCACGGAAGGATGGAAAATGGCGTGAGAGAGTTTCGGAGCCATCAACCATTAATGGCACGTGTCGAGACACGCAATCTACATACCTAAGTATGTACATAGGCGACATCGAGCACAATGGTGATGTGCGATTTCAGATTCTATCTTATTCTGTTCCAACTTACACGCGTTATAAGACAGTAATCGTGCGTGATTGATCGAATTAATTGTTCGATTGATATTAAACGTAATATTGAACTATTAAATAATTAATGTTCATCAATTAATTTGTACTATTCTTTATTGTATGAGAAATTTATACTTTCTATTGAAATAATAGCATATAATTTACTTTAAAATACGTTTAATTTACTTGCAAATATTATCTATTCACAATTTTATCTATTCGTCATTATTAGATATGTTTTAACTACATGCTGAGAAAAATGTTCTGTATCAACAAAAAGTACAAATAAAACAAATTCTGATCATATAAATCTGAATTTTGGTTATTCTCTAATCGAATTTCTGGTTATATTTCGAATAAAATATTTAATAGATTTAACTACAAGTGTCTGTCTGATTTTACCTTTTTAACTGAATCTTCCTGAATTCCTATATTAATGTAACAAGGCTGGTTTTTTTAATGCATATTTTTTAAAGAATTAACGTCTCGCAAAGCAAAAATGTGGACTTTAATTTTCACATCGAATTCTTCAATAACAGTCAGTTTAGAGTTTTGTTATTCCTTGACGATTTAATAAAACGATACATGTTTTCGATACTTTATTGCGGTACGTCTATGTAGCATTGAATTGGCAAGTTTTAAGCTTTCAAAGCAAGAGATTCGGTCGTCAAGCAAACAGAGAATATCTCTCGTCGGCAATGATTTATTCGACGTTCACAGAATGACAGCGGGTGACATTCGTGTGCACCCGACACGCGTGCAACGTATGCGTGTTCAAACACGTGACGGGGATCACTATGAGCCCTGACACTCGTTACACGACTGACTTTACAAACGCGGTATACACGGTATACAAAGTTGACAATCTGCTGATACATATCTTTCGTCTAAAATTTTCTCTTCATATTTTTTACATCAATAAATTTTTCGAACATATCGTTTAATTGTGCTTTAAATCATTGTGCTGAAATACTTATAGACATTATATTAATAATTATAATGTGTAGAATTGAGAAAAAGAAAATGATACCTACATAATATATTCGTTTACGATTAAGCATATAGTTAAACGTGTAGAAATTGCTTAATAATTCTAACCGCTTGTCGAGTAAAGCTGTGTCAATTTACTCCAATGTCTCATATCCACGAACAGGTTACGTGACGCATTAGACTTCATACACATATAGAACATATGCATGCCTGGTTCGAGATAAACCGCTGCGAGCTAATGGCATTAAAATGTCTCGCGACTAATTCCCTTTTGGATGTATGGCATAACTGTATTTCAATTCATATATATATGTACATCTATGTATACATAGTTTGACCTTACGAAGTGAGAGAAGCGAAACGTGACAAGTAAACTAATT